AAAAAAAAAAAAAAAAAAAAAAAAAAAAAAAAAAAAAAAAAAAAAAAAAAAAAAAACAAGAATCCGCTCTCAAACGCACCTCCTCGCGTCGGCCCGCCATTCTTTGCCATTGCGCCGGAAACTCCTCCTCGCGTCCTCGAGGCTGTTCAGCTCATCCTTTCGCGTCTGGCCGTTACACTCGCCGACGTCTATGCCCAAATCGCTCGACTGCTCGTGACCGTTGATTCGCCGGTAGTATCCCTTCCCTGCGTGTTTATACGTATCGCAGTATTACACACCAACCTCATATTATTTAACATCCGCGAAAGATTCGTTGGCTCCCTCGAAAAAAAAAAAAAAAAAAAAAAAAACAATCTTCACCCTTGTATATGGCCCAACAAGGCACCGCTAGTCGGGCCTAAGATTCAGATAAACTACCCTTATTTCCATTAGCGCGAGGAGGAGGAGGAGGGTACGTAACAATCGGCTCGAGGGAGCACCTAAAATCCATTTGGACTGTACATATATGTGTATGTATGTACCTAGGGTACATATATATGTATAATGGCAGTGCTTATCAGGAAGGGGGTCGGAGGACGACGCGACGACGACGCCGAGCCAAGGCAGTACAGCGGCTGTGTATATATGAAGCAGTTTGCTCGATTAGTGGGGCGAGCGTTGCTACCTACACACGTTTCTTGCAAACCCTCATATACGTTTACGGACGCTTCGCACCCGCGTGTTTATATAGCTGCTATATATACGCTGCTGTACTCCAAGACCGGAGTAAAGGAGTGGCTCTCTGTGTATTCGTTTTTTGTGCAAACGTCTACCCGTATAAACTTATTCATCATTGCCATTCCTTCCATTCGTGCATTTTTCGAGATATTTTTGCGTAATTCAGATCCTAACGATTATTGACGCGTAAAGTGTGTATCGTGTGCGTATTATTGGCTCACAGCTCCATCATGCGTTCATTGTGGACGATCAGTGTTTTGTTACATCGAAGTAGTTACACACAGAGAGACGTGGCACACAATTAATATTGTATATATGTACAGTGAGTTGAGGCACAGCGTATCGACGAGGAGACAGACACTGCGAGGATCGGGTGCTGTATTGTACTTATTTTATCCGTGAGATACAATCAGTGCAATTAAAAGAAAAAAAAAAAAAAAAAAAAAGAAAAAAAGATTGAAAACGAGGGAATATGAGATTCAAGCTCGTACAGCTTCTTGCAATGCGCAGAAAGGAAGAGAGAGAGAGGGAGATAGTGTCACACGACGTGCGTGTACAAAAAATGGCCATTGCGTGGTGTATTTAATACAATTAGTCGGCAGATGAAGAACAGTGGATGTGTGTACGTACGTTATTGTTCTTAATTGTGTGTGGCACAACCGCGTCGATCTATACGGGGGGGACGATCCATCGAAAAAGCGAGAAACAGATGGAGGGTAACGAGAAAAAGAATACACCAAGCAGCGAAACCTTCTTTATCGGTGCAATGGCTTGTTTTTGCGCGCACGGGTTTAGTCGAGAGGGCCATTTTTTACGCGGTTGTTCATTCGGGCCGTTATAAAATACGGACGCGGGCCCCATTAGGCGATAGTGCGAAAATTTTAATTCGCAGCGGAATTTTCAATTAAAACCGACGATCCCGGCTACGACAAGTGACGGGAAAGGGGGGGGAGGAAGGACTTTAGGTGAGTACGACCCTCGAACTTTTTAATAACTTTGACACTCGAAGCCCGAAAATTTGGCACGCCCGACGCTGTTTTAATTCCATTCGAACACCTCGTTATACCCCCAGTTGGAGTTTTTTTTACACTTTCGTCGTTTGAATCGCCTGCTATCTGTACACTTTTTGTGGAAAAAAAATAGGGCCGAAAAAATATCGAGCGCCGAGAATCGATACGATACTGGGGGATGAGTATATATACGTAGTATAAATTGCACTGACAATGAGAATTGAGAAGACACTCATGCGCAGGTGTTTGTGTAGAGCGAAAGGTATTGGATGATCCTTTGCCTTGTTTTACAAATTTTACATGCAAACGAAGGGTATGTTCGAATGGCGCGCAGCAAAGGTACGACCAGCGAACCCAAGAAGCTGCTGTGTCCAAACGATGTAGCCGAAGAGTGTGTGAGTGTGTGTGTGTTGGTAATATCGTGTAAACAGATAATATATACAAATATGTGGGCAGAGGATATATACAAGACACTGGAACGACAATCGCCAAAGTATATGCAATGTAAAGAAGTGAGAGAATAGATACAGATAACAATTTTGAGACAAGATAGGTATAGGTATAATTAATATGCGAAATAGTGAGATTTAAATAAAGAGAGACATCAGCGTCAAATACCGCTAAAAACATCTTGATCCTCTCATGGCTCATGTCGCTGGGGGTCATTCGCTCTCCCCTCGCGTCCATCGATTTCCGGCCTACAAAAGCCAATCACAGTCAGATGCAGGTGTTATACTTATTTTATTTTTTTTATTTTTTTTTCATACATTGTTATGTTAAATTTTAATGCTAAAGCTTTTGGTGTAATCATGTACAACAAGGCTAATTGATAATCTCAATTAGGGTGGAGAGAGAAGTTTAGTTTATTCATGTCTAGTAGAATTTGATAAACTTGTTAATGGAAAAAGAAGCTTAATCTAATACCATTACCAGTTTTTTTTTTTTTTCATTTTCGCAACACCATTCTAGTGCTTTTGGTAATCCACCTAATAGCAGCAAAACATGGATACGACTTGATCTGCGTTGAATTTGTAAATCAAATTAATGCATATTTCAAACGAGACACTGACATTTCGCAAAGGGATCGGCGAGCAAATTATTCAAAAACCCCGTGATATATTTTTATAGCCAAAGACTCGATAAATCGCACCTCTTCGCGATAAATCAGCGAAGGCTCGTGTCCGCCGAGCAAAAAAAAAAAAAAAAAAAAAAACCCAGAGAAAGGGAAATGAACCGAAAACGAGGGGGTAGGAATGTATGGCGTGCAAACGTAAATTTGAATGCTCGCGTTATTTCTCCTTTTTTTCATTACTCCTCAACCCACACGGCTATACGGTACATGGATATTTATAGGTATGTACATCACAGTATAATTAATTCTCAGAAAACTCGTGTCTACTCTCTCTCTACATACATACCTATGTATATTTTATGTATTACTACACACGCGTGCGGGTGGAACTTTGCATCTAAAGATCTTTTTTTTCTTTTTTTTCTTTTTTTGGCAAAGTACTAAATCTTACGTGATGTTCTCTATTACTATGTATTAGGTTTTATCGTGTGCACGTGGAATTGACAATCGATGAGTCTATATTACCTACTGTATATTATGTGTGTATATGTTTTTCTCTACGTATCACTCACCGATACTTAATAAATTACATGTATATTACGATTCACAGTTAAATCGAATGTTCTGTTCTAAATTAGTAATAATGTTATGTAAAAAAAAAAAAAATAAATAAAAAAATAAATAAAATTTGACTTGTACTATACTGTATTAGGTATGCATTCACTACTTGGTACGCTACCCCTAAGTGGTCACTTCACTATTGTAACATTGTAATATTTAAACATGTATTTTGTATGAAAATGCTTTTAAACCTGGGTGTAATAATCCGTATACGAGGCTGTAGCTTCTGCAAAATTCCTGTCAAAAAATGCTGAAAAATAAAAAAAAAAAAAAAACAACAAACAGGGCCAACGTGTGATGCTTATTTTTTGTTTGCTTTTTCGAATATTAGAGGATACCAAAGGGAAAAAAGCAATTATACATCGTAATAAATATTATCAATGGTAGCTATACATGTATAAATAACAGTAAGAATAATAATAATAATAATATTGCGAGCGACAAAAATCATCGTGCCCATTAACGTAAGATGCTCGTGTTGTCTGATACCACGTGTAAAAAAAAAAAAAAAAAAAAAAAAAAATCAAGTACTTATGAATAGCTGCTCGTGTGTGGATATAGCGATGGTGTGGGTGTACAACAGTAAATGTATACGTGATGTGGGCGTCAGCCTCGGTAAATGAACTTACCTCGTACTTGGGTTTCTCGTGCGCAAGTTGCAAATATCAAATGGAGGCGCAAACTTACACACAAGCTGGTAAACTTGCCAGGTATAGTCTAATTATAAAATAATAACAACAACAATAACTGTGCATCTATCGATGGGAGCAACAACTTTGGACTCTCACGGTCATTTGTTTGGTTTATCTCTTATTTCGCTTGTCTCTGTTTTTTTTTTTCCCCTTTTTTTTTTTGCTCACTTTTTCTTTCGGAGCCCACAATTTCATTCCTCTCCATTAAGGTGGTAAAAACACGAAGGTATAAAATGTATACATTATACCGTGTGCCCTTTATTCGCGTACATTTGCCACTGGGGGACAAAGAGAAAAGGAGATGGGGGGGGGGAGAAGAATCTAGCAGTGACGACAGCAACTACAACAACAGTAAAAAGGTAATGGCGAAATAATTACTACGCGCCGGCATCAGCGGGGCGCAGACACACACACAGCCTCTCAAATTAAAACTTTGGCCGTTTGCAGCTGAAATAATAGATAAGGGCCGCAGTAGTTGGGATACATGTATATATATATTATATGCTTCTCCTGTGTTACTCCGAATGTGTACTCGGTTGCTTTTTTCATTTTTCACGCTTGTTAAGCCCTTTTTTCCAAACATAATGGTTTTTTTTCTTGCGCTGATTGGATGGACATGTATTTATTTTTTTTGCTCTGGTCAACGCGTAGGTGGGGCACAGTCGGTCCAAGGTGCGTGCAATCAGACTTTAGGTCGAGGGATCACGTCCAACAAAGTTTTTGGACTAACTGCATTTAGCCGGTCGATTCTTGCTACACCGTCTCGTAGCTCATCGGTATTTGTGTTATTTTTTACCGGAAAAATTGTACCAATAAAATACACTGCGTGCGATTTACTTTTAAACAATAGGACAAATTTGAAAAAAAAGGAAAATTCAGCGATATAGAACGTACAATTAAAAAAATAACAAGTTTGTTTCAACGAATACAATAAACAAAATCAACTCGATTTTAACGGCTGACGTGTAATCGTACGATATATTTAAAGTAAAGTCCTCATCAATGTACCCGAAAAACTCTGGGCATATCTAAAAATTTGGCCAACAAAAAGCCCCTGCGTCATCACGAATCAACAGATCGATTCATTGGGATGATGATGCGAGCGCCCAAGTAGTACGAGTACGAGTTTGGTCAGACGACGCGACAATGGCGACGACGGTCCGGATTACGCGAGGAGGGGGTAACACACAGTATACGTATGCGTAGGCAAGGAAGTTCCCGGGACTCCTCCACACCCACACGAACGCTCGAAAATCCAGACCCACCCCTCCTCTCATCCATGCCAGTGGTATCGGCAGGCGGGAGGCGGAACAAGACAGCCGTTTGAATTCGCCCACGTGCCCGGGCACACGTTACACATACATATACATATACATGCCGTGTATTGTCGGATGCTGCTATAGTGGCAGTTTCAGCGTGACGTCATCGGCGATACGCGTAGGCGGGTAAGGGAGCAGTCGACGCTAAATTGTATATTTACGCGCCGTGGGGGTGTATATAGGCATGTACATTCCGTGGAGTCAGACACGCGCGCGCGGAGATCAGGCGCCAGCTATTGCCCGTGCGTGTGTTTTGCCGAGTTATTATTGCCTTGTTTTTCCATTCCACTCGATGAAAGGAGCTGAGATTCGATAACCATAACCCGAGTAGTTTGGGCTTTGTACCCACGTAATGTGCCGATGGTTGATGATGATTTTTTTTTCTTTTCTTTTTTTTTTCATTTTGCCGTGAATCAATGGATTAAAAGTGTGCATATAGACAGGATGCAACGGGAGTAAAATGGATGCATAGATGAGGGACGAGGGGGGGGGGGGTTGGATCGATGTCAGAGGTCAAGCTACCCCCTTTGAGCCCCGTAATGAGCCTCGAGGCTTAATGAACGTACTCTCGAGCCATCGGCCGCTCCACCTACGCCCTTTATGGATGTGATTGGTGACGCGGAAGCGGAAGGGATGGATGGATCGATCGATCCCGGAGCCGATACCCGGCCCTCTTTTATTCATGCGCCGGACGATCGGCCCCTCTCGGGAGTTCCCCGTGGCGCGACGGACTTGTAAATTATTTTTTTCCGGGGAAATTGCGGGAAATCGGGGAACGGGGCTCGTGTTTCGGAGGCTACTTGTTTTCCCTATACTTTTCGCGACTGACAGCGACTCCTGTGAATATTTGAGTCGCGCCAACGACTGTCCAATACCGCGAGGGAACATAAAAATTAACGGGGAAATTCAGTTAGCCTCCCTGGCCCTTGCTTCATCGAAACTACGATATATCATATACTTACTCGTTGTCGCGTTCGACGATGAAAGCAAAGGAAGCACACGATCCTAAATTGAAGTGGTGTTGTTTTTGTTTCAAAATAAATGCGCTCCAATTAACTGACATGTAGTTTGAGAAATGTGAAAATACGTAGCATTTCCCTACGTCAGCTCGTTTATATGTAATTTACAACGCGTGACAAGTGTGCGGATGTAAAGAAGAAAAAGAAAAGTCGTGCAAGCGTCGAGAGTAAAAACGCAACGTCGCGTATTTTATTTTATTTTTTTTTTTTTTTCGTCCCTGTCTCTGCGTGTACCACTCGCGCTTTGGAAATTTCCCCAGTTATTTCGATGCGCGCCCTCACCGGCAAGTTTAAATTAGATCAGCCAAGGAAATGGAACGCAAAAGCAGCGCACCACCCACGGAAACACGCATCACCGTCAATATCGCCCCTCCCCTCCCCGTATATACCCCGTATATACATCGCATCAGGGATGGTTTCCGATGCAGGTACACGTACGCGCGGGCCGTGTAATTTCCTACTTCAAAAATCACACGTCTCTCGCTTGATTGGCCGTCGTTAGGCAAAACGACGTTATACGCGGTCGTCTCCCATCTCGTTTTGACAACCGTACACACACAGACTGGTGACGGCTATTTCGAGCACGAACTTGCCCGACAACCCTCCCGACCTCGATGTCTGATTGCACACTTTTTTTGCTACACCTACGTATACATACGTGTATAGGCAATCTCCTACCATACACATGTACAGTGCCGTTTTACACGTGACATTGAATTTTCTACGTCAACTCTGGGTGTCTCGTACGTATACAGATTTTCACGAGGGAAAGGGGGAAAAACACCCGAGGACTCGTTCTAGTCTTCAAATTACTGGCCGCTCTCGTGCAACGAGATTCCACATGGTCATCCGTATGACGATACCAATGGGGTCGCACACCTCATTATAGATGGATGGATATACATAATATTAGTTGCGCGAAAAGGTGGGTGGACGTGGAGGACTTACCATGGTGTTCCCGGTCGTCGTGCTCGTCGCTGGCGCACTCCGGGGTGCTGCGCTCCTCTTCGCTGCTGCTGAAGCTCCTTTGGCCGGGTCCGACCGCCGGGTGTCCCGGATGCAGTTGGTTGTGGAGGTGGTGTTGGGACATCGGCAGGTGCGACTGCGGACCCAGTGGTGGCGCTGGTAGCTGATGGGGCTGCACCCGGGGGAGCCCGCGCATCGTCATACTTGGACTCTGGGTGGCGTCGTGCACCTGTGGCCCGTATCCCGCGTCCGAGTTCTGTGACGATTTTTTTATTTTCTCTGATACTACATCTGTAGATAATTTAATTGGCGAAACGGGGGGAGGGGGTGGATCGTACCTGATAGAGCTGGCGCTGGCGCTGCTGGTACACCGACGAGTTTTGCTGCTGCTTCATGAGGCCGTCGAGCTCGCCACGGTAGAGGCTGGGGTCGTCCTCGGGGTAGGCGGCTGGGTGCCTGGGCGTGGGCTGGATGCTCTGGTTGTAGGCCGAAACGTGTCCCGGCTGGGGCAAGCTGCGCGAGTGGGGCGACACGGACATCTCGACCCCGCTGTCCGCGCTCATCGACAGCCGTCGCGATGGTATCTGCTCCTGGTGGGAGTACTGTCGCTTGAGGAGGCTGCTGCTGCGCTGGAGTAGGGGCACGTTCTCTTTCTCGGCGGCGCTGTGGGCCCGCTCGAGCTTCGGGCGCTTATCGAGGCCCTGGTCGGCCAACAACAGACCACCACCGCCCAGGCCCATCATGCCCTGCGACGCCTGCATGTCCTCCTGCATACGGCGCAACGTCGCCCCGTCCATCGTCCCCTTCATTATCCACTCGCCCGACTTTGACAGCAGCTCCTGCTTCTTCCGGCACAGGATGCACACCCACATCGACTGACACACACACACACATTTGTCAAGTTCAATCGTTTCTTTTTACTTTCAATATTGGCTCTGTACATCTTATCTTACGCAAAACGGGATGGATTTTTAAAATATGGATAGCTCCTTTTCTCTCTCCCTCTCGCGTTCAATCCAGGACCGATCGATTATCCTCACCTCTGATAAAAAGGAGCCGAAAGAAGGAGGAGGGGGTGAAAAAAAGACCCCTCTCAGAGGCCTTCTCATCATGTGTCTCGAAATAAATTACTCACGCGATATTCATCGAGCAGCGATGCACGCCGAGTGCAAACCAAAGAGGATGTAGCCGAGGGCCGGACTTGTCAACATATTCGTAAGTGTACGCGTACCCTTGTGTGTGCACAGGGTGAGATTGTTGTGCGGTCGGTGCTCTGGTGTGCCGCGATAATACACCAATGTGTGTGTACGTGCCTACTCCCCTATTGTTCGTTCTCTCTCGAGACTGTGTGTTTAAGCGCCTATATATATATATGTGTGTGTGTGTGTGTGTGTGTGTGTGGCGTGTGGACTAGAGCCTACACACGTATACTGAAGAATCGAGGTCGTGCACTTGTACGTCGCGCACGCACGGGAGCCCGAGGATATTTTTGGGAATCGAGATTTCGAGGGATGATAATGCCCTTGGCGCTAAACAAGTATAGGTTCATGCTTAAAGTAGTACTATAAACTTTATACAGATTTTCCCTGTAATGATAATTTTATTTTTATTTTCGGTGAGAAAAAGTTGTATCGCGTGGTCCGAGAAATTCTGCTTGTAACTTTCGGCGCGTATATTGTAGTGGGTGATACTTTTTTACAAAAGCCGGGGGAACACGAAATCGATTTGTACCGTGTATCGAACGTTTTGGGACGACAGTGCCGTTGATTAAAATTAGAGAGAAAATTAAAAAAAAAAAAAAAATGTTTGTTAGTTGATAAACAAGAGGCAAACTGCGAGTGAAATAAGCGAGCTTTCGGGGACGGTGAATAAAAAAGCTTTTTCTTCGAGCTTCCGGGAAACAGAGGATTCGGAGTCGAGTGAAAAAAAAGTACCTACTAATTGACGAGGGGCAAAAAGGCAGTCGTCCGAGAAGGTAGTTATTGGTTCTCGGTGGCCGAAGGAGCGAAAAATAAATCCCGAAAGCCGTGCATGGGTGTGTGTTATTTCGCGCGATTCCTTTCACCGGGGGAGAGACTCAAAGCCGATCGGCGAGAAAAAAAGCACGCTCCTGACCTACTTGGGTCAATGGCCGATAGCTCGCCTCCTCGGCAAAGGGAGGAAAAAACGAAATCTCACGAGAGAATTTTCAAGCTCTCCGAGCGCGAAACTGAGCTTATACATTTTTTATCGTCACCCACGGCTTACGATTTTTTTTTTTCTTTTTCGCTTTCGCATCAGCTTGAATTATCGACGAGTAAGTAAACTACTTTGTTTTTTGTAGCCGTAATCTGAAAAAAAAAAAAAAACACATGCATAGGAATACTCACACACTTTGTCGGTCCTCATGTCTACGAAGATCGGGAAAATAGCTGAGTAGCGAGTCCAAAGTAAAAAAAAAAAAAAAAAAAAAAAAAATACACTCCCAGTTTACCCTTCTCGCGCGAGTGTCAAAAACTTTCGGTGCACTTTCCGATACCCGGTTTCGGTGTCGGGAGAACTCGCGAGTCGCAAAATTACGCGCAGCACATGCAGTGCCCCGTGAAATGCAAAGTACCGCCCACGCGTCCGGCCGGCAAACTTGCCACGGCGGAACTTATAACCGAAACCCCCGTCACCGGCCACTCACACCATATCCGAACGCTTCAACTTTTTTCATTCCAACCGCTCGGTTTGACTCACCCCGTCGTGTTAGCTTTGCAAATTTCCGTCATTTACACTTGTTCACGTATAAAACCTCGATACACTACACACCGATTCGATAGTTGTTGTTTTGCTCCTTCTCAGCCGCAGGCTCGCGGGAGCACAGCAAAACGTGGACTGCGAGCGAGTGACGGAGAGAGACTAGACGTCGGCGAAGCAGAGAGAGAGAGAGAGAAGAGCTTAGGGCGTGGTGTGGAGTGGGGGGGGGAGGGAGCTTTTAAGTGGAAAAGAATCTCCCTGACGCGGGAGCGGCTCGTGTGTGAAGGGCCTCGCGGCGAATTTTAGCCTGATTAACTTCGAGTCCCGCCTACTGGCGCTTCACTGCTATGTAAGATTTTCCACCCCATTCGAGATTTTCCCCGAGCAAGAGAGCGGCCACTTGGCGGTAATTGAATACCCGTCTACGGTTGAGCGTAAAATAATCGCAGCCATGAAAAAAAAAAAAAGGAGGGGAAGGTCTATCAACTCGAGCCCATGTTTTTTTCAATCGCACGAATCTCGTAATTAGAAAATGGCGTGCACTTCTGTCGAAGGAGAGTCCTGGAAGCGTGTAGGGGGGAAGAAAAAAAATTCAAGTAGAAAAGGTCGACGTATGGCCAGGCGGAACAACTCGTGCGTGCAATAATGAAGTGGTGGAGGACCGTTTTTCTTTTTCTCTTTCTTCGGTGGATAATGGAAACGAAAAAGAGTGCAAGTCGAAGGAAAACTCTCGGGGAAATTAGTTGTCGCTGTCCATGCACCTAAACGTAAAAAAATCGCAAGAAACGCGCGTATTTAATGTTGTTCCTTATGAAAAAAAAAAAAAAAAAAAAAAAAGCAAACAACGTCGTTCATTAGACGGGTCTTGCTTCTCCGAGTCTTTCGAAAAATTCATCGATCGACTGGAACAATCAAAAGACGGAAAAGCGTAGCAGCGGCGTTGCCACCACTACTACCACACGTATGTACGCACGAGACGGCGAAGCAAGCTACACGTACAGCCATGGGGGAAGCCGGAAGTCGAAGAATAAACGGCGCGAACAAAGAAAAACAAGCGCGTGGAGACACAAAGGCCCGCTACAAAAGGAAGGGAGGAGAAAAAAAGAGGGAGGGGGGAGGTGGAGACAGAGCTCGTGGGTACACGAAAGATGGAAAAGGAGAGACGAGGGAAAGAGGAAAGGATAGAAGTGTGTACGGTTTAGGGGGAGGCTAGAGAGGCACTCCGTCGAGTTGCCTAGGTAGCAATATGTCAAGAACCCCCTCCTGCCTCTCTTTTTTCCGTTGTGTCTTCCATTTCCATTTTCCACCGTCTTTTCCGAGACCCTTACCTCCCTCACCCTACCCCATGGCGTTTTCTTCTCAAATTTCCCCGGAAAACTCCTCAGTGGTGCAAGTAACGGCGCGTCCTTGCGATAAATTTTCCAAAAAGCCCCGCGCGTTAACGGCGCGCGCGTAATTTACGCTACCAGTTTTCCCACTGAAAAAAAAAAAAAAAAAAAAAAAAAAAAAAAAAAAAAAAAAAAA